CTTGATGGCTGAGGAGGAACCGGGCCTGTCCAGAGTCCTGGGGGTGGAGAGCACTGACACTGAGGCAGGTTCAGCCCTTGCTGGACAGGTGGGAAACCTGCTTCCGGGCCGGCAAAGCCCAAGGGGCCTGTCTACCGCCCACCTCCCTCAACTCCTGTCCTGGGGGTTTTGCCTTGGCACCAGGGCTGGGCGGTGGCATAGGCGCCACTCCCTTCTCCCATGGGACGGATGAAGTCACTGAGGGCCAGGGTCTCCCAGGCAGGAAAAGGCAGCACCAGAATTGGAACCCAGGGCCCCTCTGTGTGCCAGGCGCCCATGACCCCAGCCCCCAAGGGGCTGAGCTGTGGGACCCAGACAAGGCCTCCCCGAGGCAATTGGGGCCTCGAGCTGGGCGGCCCTAAGGCCACAGTCGGGTTTTTCGAGGGACTTGGGGCCAGGGCTCCCCCAACAGAAACCCAGGTTTGAGGCCTGGCTGGGGACCCCTGGCTGTCCCCCACCCCTGGCAAGCCTCAGTTTGCCCATCCCTCAAATGGGGATCAGAAGAAACCAGTTCTCCTAGTGTTTGCACTGACATCTGCCCAGGTCTGCGGCCTTTCTGAGCACAGCCTACAGTGAGGAAGGCATTTTCTCTCCCTCACAACATTCATGTGCTCCTGTTTGTTCTGCAAATGACACACCTGTGCCACTTAGACGCACGAGACTCTCTGCAATTTCTTTTTTTGTTTGTTTGTTTTTGAGACGGAGTCTCGCTCTGTCGCCCAGGCTGGAGTGCGGTGGCACGATCTCAGCTCACTGCAAGCTCCGCCTCCCGGGTTCCCGCCATTCTCCTGCCTCAGCCTCCCGAGTAGCTGGGACTACAGGCGCCCGCCACCTCGCCTGGCTAATTTTTTTTGTATTTTTAGTAGAGACGGGGTTTCACCGTGTTAGCCAGGATGGTCTCCATCTCCTGACCTTGTGATCCACCCGCCTCGGCCTCCCGAAGTGCTGGGATTACAGGCTTGAGCCACCGCACCCGGCCAAGTCTATGTGATTTTTGCGTGCATGAATGTGGCATCTGTTCTTGCTCACATGTGGTGGAGAGCAGCCCTTCCCCTTCCCCTTGGAGAAGTGCCGTGGCCTCTATTTTTATTTCTTGTAGCATTTCTTTTACCTTTTAACTATGAAGTGCACACACCCTTGGGGCAGCAGGAAACAGAGCAGGTGGGATGCCCTGAGGCCCTGTGTCCTCCACGGCTGCCCCAGGAGGCAGCTTCAGTCCCGGCTCGAGCTGCGATCACATCTCTGCTTTCTCCGTCGTTTTAGGCCTCAGCACGTTTCCCTTCCTCAGCACAGCGTTGCCTGCCTGTGGCCGGGACCCGATGCCTCTTTCGCCTCCTTGCCTCTGAGTTCTGTTTCGTGCCGGGGGTGAGGCTCGTGCTCCTGTGTTCGCACTGTACGGCGCTGCTTGAGGAGACGTCCCCTCGCTTTGTTTGTCTGTTCTGCCGGGTCGCTGTGGGACGTTCACAGTCACAAACTCGGTGTCATAGGAAACATACATTTGGCCTCTGCCGCAGTTCCTGACATGGAGCTCCTAACCCTCAGCCTTTCCGGGATGCCAGGAGCATCTTTAGTTCTACTGAGGCACCTGTGAGGGCTCCTGGGTGGGGGCTGCACACCAGATGAGCCCCCCTTAGGATTAGAAGCCTGGGACTGTAGCCCCAGCCCCGGGAAGAAGAGGGTGGGAGGCTGAGGTCATCGGGGTCGTGCTTATGTGACGAAGCCTCGGAAGAAATCCCTAAAAGACAGAAGACGGGATCTGGGAGCGTCCAGGGTGGAAACGCATCAGTGCCGTGAGGGCAGCCACTCCCGCTCAGTGGGGACAGGGCTCCTGTGCTCCGGAAGCTTCCGGACCCCGCCCTACGGACCCCTTCCTGTGAGTCCTTCGTAACATCCTCTATAATGAACCCGTATGTGTAAGTGTTTCTGAGTCCTGTGAGCTGGCCTAGCACACACCAGACTGGGGGACGGGACTCACAGAGCCTGGGTTATAGCCGGTCAGTAAGAAGCACGGGCGGCCTGACCCCGAGACTGGCGCTGAAGTGGGGGCAGCTGCAGGACCGTCCTGGGCTCCCGGGGTCTGCAGTGACTCAATTTAGTCAGGCTAAATCGTAGGGCTCCCCGTGGTCATCCACAGACAGCTGGAGACTGGCTCGGTGTGGAAAGCCCCGCGTCCAGGGCTCCAGAGTGAGCAGCTGTCTGAGAAGGGACCTTGTTTCCCTCTTCCCAGACCCAGTGCGCGGCATCCAGGCACACACAGTCTCTCTGGGGTACGGGGGGCATCTCGTCCTGGGGCCTGTGCCTCTCAGCACCCACACTTTCCATTTTATTCTCTCACTAAAAAAATGCTGGTCACGATCTGCTAAATGGATTTGTGTCCCCCTCAGGGACCAGCCACCTCCCGCAGCCTGACAAAGGCTGGCCTACGGGTACTGGGAGGGCTGAGGGATGGCCCTCAGGCACAGGGTGACACTGCAGCCTTGGAGATCCCTGGGGACCCCAGCCCCATCCTGCTCACCCAGCCCCTCACCTCTTTTAGCCACCAACAAAAGGAGCAGCCCCTGGTCTCGGGGGGAGGGCTCTGGGACCCTGTGCCACCCCCTGGTGACGGCTGGAGTTTGCGCTGATGGCTGGTGTGGGAGTCTCCTGGGGCTGCCGTGAGAAATCACCACAGACCAGGAGCTTCAACAGCAAGGATTTGTTCTCCCACAGCTCTGAGACCAAGCTGTCTGCAGGGCCGGTTCCTTCTGGGGTGCTGTTGGTGGGGGTGGGGGGCGTCTGCTCCAGGCCCCTCTCCAGGTTCTGGGGAATGGGCACAGTCTCTGGTGTGCCCAGGCTTGTGGGCGCATCACCACGGTCTCTGCCTCCATCTTCACACAGCGTTCTCCCTGCATGCACATCTCAGTGTCCACACCCGCCCTTTCTAGAAGGAAACTAGTCCTGTGGGGTGAGGGCTCACCCTGGTGATCTCACCTTGATCATCGGCAAAGACCCTGTTTCCCAGGAAGGCCATCGTCTGTGTTGTTGGGGGGCTAGAACTTCAACTTGTAAATTGGTGGGGCGCCCCATTCAACTCGTAAGGGAAACCTCTTGGGCCCCACAGCCTTGGGTGGGGACATATCCCCTTGGGCTTCCCGGAGCCAGCGCCTGTGGGGACTGAGGGTGGTGTAGGAATTTGACCCTCGAGACGGGGCTCTAGATCTTGGCAGGTGCAGCCCTTCTACATGAGTCCAGCCATGGTGGGTAAGCCTCCTGCCCCTCTTTGCCTGTCTTCTGGGCTCCTGGCCTGGAGCCATTCATATTAGTCTCACTCAGGTGGCTTGGATGAGAAGCTGGTCACACCAGATTGGGCCAATAATATGGGTTTTGGGATTGAGCCAAGGCAGCACTTCTCAGCCACCCATGCTGGTGCCTACGGGTGACTGATCTGGGCTGCCACACACACCACCCTCCAGGGCATTGGATCCCAGCCTGGCCAGGGCTGCAGGGGCTGGTGGGAGGCTGGGCCTGGGGCAACCACCAAGCCACAGATCTGGGAAGCTTGGGAATGCCACACAGGATAACACAGCAACAGTATCGGCAACCACGAAAACCCACACCCAGGCACATCATGTTCAAACTCCGGAGAACCAAAGACAAAGAGAAAATTATGAAAAGAAGTTGATGTGGGGAGGAGGACTGAGCATTTTATATAGTTAACACCAGAGAAGGCAGGAAAAGATGGAAAAAGCAAGACTCTTCAAAGGAAGAAGAAGAATCCGAAATGTCCACAGCGCATCATCCCCATACTCAACATACACACTACTGGGCACACAGGAAAACAGGAACGCAGAGCCCACAGTCAACAGAAAAAATAGTTACTCGTAGTAGACACTCAGATGCCAACGTTAGCAAACAAGAACTTTAAAGCTGTTAGAAATGGGCTCAACTGGCCGGGCACGGTGGCTCACGCCTGTGATCCCAGTACTTTGGGAGGCTGAGGTGGGTGGATCACTTGAGGTCAGGAGTTTAAGACCAGCCTGGCCAACATGGTGAAATCCCGTCTCTACTAAAAATACAAAAATTAGCCAGGCATGGTGGTGGTGGGCACCTGGAATCCCAGCTACTCTGGAGGCTGAGGCAGGAGAATGGCTTGAACCCGGGAGGCGGAGCTTGCAGTGAGCTGAGATCGCACCACTGCACTCCAGCCTGGGCGACAGAGCGAGACTCTGTCTCCAAAAGAAAAAAAAAGAAAAAAAGAAATGTGCTCAACTGCCAGGTATGGTGGTGATGGTGACATGGTGGCGATGGTGGCGATGGTGGTGGTGGTGGCGATGGTGGTGGTGGTGGTGACGATGGTGACGATGTTGGTGATGGTGGTGGTGGTGGTGGTGGTGGTGGTGGTGGCGCATGTGCCTATGATCCCAGCTACTTGGAAGGCCAAAGTGAAGGTGGGAGTATCGACTGAGCCTGAAAGGTCGAGGCCACAGTGAGCTGTGATCATGGGATTATACTCCAACCTGAGTAGCAGAACAAGATCCTATATCAAAATAAATAAATAAATAAATCCCAGCCCTCACCCCAAAAGAAATGTGATCAACTGCTTAGCAAAAAATGTGATCACAATGGGTGAACAGACAGGGCTTCACAGAATAAAAGAAACAAATAGAAATCCTAGAACTAAAAAGTATAATACCCGAAATAAAAAATTCATTGGGCCAGGCATGGTGGCTCATACCTGTAGTCCCAGTACTTTGGGAGGCCCAGGCAGGAGGAACATTTGAGCCTAGGAGTTTGAGACCAGCCTGGACAATATAACGAGATCTTATATCTACTAAAAATTTTTAAATTAGCTGGGTGTGGTAGCAGGTGCCTGTAGTCCCAGCTACTCTGGAGGCTGAGGTGGGAGGATCACTTGAGCCTGGGAGGATGAGGCTTCAGCAAACCGTGACTGCACCACTGCACTCCGGCCTGGGCAACAGAGTGAGACCCTGTCTCAAAACAAAATAAAACTAATTACACTGGATAGGCTTAACAACATATTGCAATTATAGAATAAAAGATTAATGAACTTGAAGACAGAGCAGTGGTCATCATCTAAATAACAGAAATTTTAAAAACACTAAAAGAGAGAGACAGAGCCAAGCCATTTACAGAACAATGTAAAATTGCCAACTTCATGTGTAATTGGAGTCTCCGAATGGGAGGAGAGAGAGATTGGAGCACAAACACATTATTTAGAGAAATAACAGCCTAAACTTCCCTGGACGTAGTGAAAAGCATCAATTTATAGACACAAGAAGTTCGGCTAACTTCAAACAGGATAAACAGAAACTCACATGTAGGCACAGCACAGTCAAACTGCTGAAAACTGAAGACAATTTGGAAGAAGCCGGAGAAAAGGGCGGCCAGAGGTGCTGAATGCTGGTGCCTCCTCATCAAAAACCAGAGGGCAGAGGGCGGAGGGCGGAGGGCGGAGGGCAGAGGGCAGAGGGCAGAGGGCAGAGGAATGAAAGCAAGGAGCCGCCCCACGGCTCCAAATCCAGCAAGAAATCCTCAGAGTGAAGGTGAAGGTGAAATAAAAGTGCTCTGAAGTAAACGAAACTGAGAAAATTTGCCGTCCTAAGAGCCGCATGACAAAACGTGCTAAAGCTGCGTGATCTGCACAAGGTAAGGAACTCGCGGAAGGGCAGGGGGGCACAGCCCACGTGTGACCGTGCAGGTGAGCAAGGCGCCTGTCTTCTCCTCGTCATCTCTTTTAAACGGCAAATCTGCACGCGTGCGTGTCCAGCACCCTGAGCTTCGTGGGGTCTGAGTCATAGAACACGTGAGGACAAGAGCGTGAGGCGTGGGGATGGGGAAGGAATCCCACTGTTGCGAGAGATTTGGGTTTCTCATCAAACGGTACCACATGTTCGGATGTCTCTGGAAGCAGAATTGGGACCGGATATGGGTGTGAAGGTGTTTAGGACCAGCGCGTGCGAAGGGAAGCGGGTAGGGCTGACGTGTGGTGCAGGCCCCACGGGGCCGTGTGACCCGCGGGAAGATCTGGCACACAAGGGGCCTATTCGGCTGGCACTGTGGGGAGGCCTGCACGGTCCAGCCTTCCTCAGTCACTAGACTCCATCTTTCCCAGAAGGACAGGGTTGTGGGAAAGGTGACTCTGAAGGTGAGACAGACCCTGAAGGGACATCTGGGTGTTCTGTGCTTCTAGGAACGATCTGAGCAGCACATCTCACCCAGCACCAACCTAGAAAGCGGACGCCAGGCAGACCGCGCTGTCTTCTCTCTTACTGCCACGTGTCCGCCGTCCCTCCAGATGGCCCAGCCTGCAAATGTCCCCTGCACCCACATGCACCTCGGTCCCTGGCCTGGGGCCTCTCCCACACCCGCGGCTTCCTCCGCTGCCCCCACCTCTGTCTGTGCCCCCTCCTCCTCCAGACCCGACTCACTCAAGGCCTCTAGAGTGCCCCACACTGTGCCTCCTGCATGGCCCAGGGGTGCCGCAGCCCCAGTGCAATGTTGGAGGTGACCCCACGCCCACTGCTTCCTTGTGGGGAACAGAGGGCCCAACCAAGACCCTTAGCACCTACAGGGAGTGGGGAGGGGCCCTTTCCAGCCTGGACCTTTCTCCTTCTAACGACAAGAGCCACATGGGTGCCCTGCCAGCTTCCAGCATCTCCTGTTCTTCAGAGAGAATTCTGGAAAACAAATCCTGACCAACATGCAGCCCCCACAGATACTCAGAGTCCCAGTTTTTAAAGTCACCTCAGCTGCCTCCATCCAGCTTCTGCCCTGGTGTGGCCTCTGGTCAGCACTCACTGTTTATGAAGATGGAGAACTGGGCCTGCCCATCCCCCAGGGGTGGGCTCCATACTCCATTTGCCTGGATCACTGAGGAGAGGATGTGTGGGTCAGGCGGGCTGGGATTGCTGTTGGGGGGCAAGACCCCCCACTTGACACAGCCACGGCTTCCATGTGAGTCGGGCAAGTCCTCCCCGGGGTGACTCGGGGATCCAGGCTGCTGAGATCTGAAGCCACAGCCTCTCACCTCAGGGACAGCATGGCCTGGAGATGTGGGGGCCGAATGGGCTTGGGGAGCACCACGCTGCCCAGCTGCTGCGGGTTTCCTGGGCTCAGCACCCCAGGGGGCTCCTGTGCTCGGCTCCCGGCACCCCTGAGCTGCTGGCGCTCCACCTCATTTCTGCGCTGGGGAAATTCCAGGTTCATGGCTGCAGACTCAGAGTGGATTGGGTCCTGCCATCTGCCCAAAAGAGGCCGCAGCCAGGCAGGGGTCCGTGGGTATTCTCTGGCTGAGGATCAAAGCACCAACACTCTGGGGGCTGTGACAGTGGACGTTGGGGCTCTCACAGCCTGCAGATGGGAGCCTGAAATCCAGGTGCGGGCAGCGCTGGCTTACTCTGAAGGTGCTGGGACAGGGCCCTTCCTGCCTGGTCCAGCTCCTGGGGCTCCCTGGCTCGTGGCCCTCACTCCCATCTCTGCCTCTGTCCGCACGCAGATGCCTTCCCTGTGCGTCTGGCTCCACCCTCGTCTCTTCTAAGGGTACTGGCCGTTGGATTTAGGGCCCACCCTCCTAGGACGACTCCTCTCAAGATCCCTCACTTTAGTTTCCCATAAAGACCCTTTTTCTGAAGAAGGTCACATTTCCAGGCTCTGGGTTTCAGGATGTGTCCAGTAACAACATGAAACTGGGGAGCTGGGGGGACAGAGGAGCTGGGGGGACAGAGGGAGCTGGGGGGACAGAGGAGCTGGGGGGACAGAGGGAGCTGGGGGGACAGAGGAGCTGGAGAGACAGAGGGAGCTGGGGGGACAGAGGGAGCTGGGGAGACAGAGGAGCTACAGAGGGGACAGAGGAGGCTGAGAGACAGAGGAGCTGAGGAGACAAGCAGAGAGGAGCCCGAGACAGAGGCTACAGGGGGACAGAGGAGCTGGAGAGGCAAAGAAGAGCAGAGACAGAGAGAGCCCAGAGACAGGAAGCTGCAGACAGAGAGGCTATGGGGGGGGACAGAGGCTTCAGAGAGGTTGAGGCAGAGGACAAGAAGAGGAGCTGGGAGAATAGAGAGGAGCTGGGGGACAGAGGGAGCTGGGGGGGACAAGAGGAGCTGCCTATGGAGACAAAGAGGAGCTGAGAGTTGAAGGCTGGAGCAGAGAGAGGAGCTAGGGGACAGAGGAGCTGGGGGGACAGAGAGGGGAGCTGAGGACAGAGGAGCTGGGGGGACAGAGAGGGAGCTGGGGGGGACAGAGAGTGGAGAGACTAGAGGAGCTGGGGGGGACAGAAGAGCTGGGGGACAGAGGAGCTGGGGGGACAGAGGAGCTGGAGAGACAGAGAGGGAGCTGGGAGGACTGCAGAGGAGTGTCCCGAAGGGGACAGAGAGGAGCCGAGGGGGACAGAAGAGGGAGCGGGGGGACAGAGGAGCTGGGGGGACCTTAGAAGACCAGGGGACACAGGGAGCCGGAGGCAGAGGAGCCGAGGAATTTCCTAGAGAGACAGGGGAACAGAGGAGCCAGGGGACAGAGGAGCCGAGGAAGTTGAGAGGGAGCTGGGGACCTGGGGAGCCAGGGGACAGCAGAGGAACAAAAGAGGGGACAGGGAGCCAGGGAGACCACAGGCGGGGGGACTTAGAGGAGCCGGGGACAGAGCCAGGGGGACACAGGAGCCAGGGGACAAGAGGAGCCGGAGGCAGAGAGGGAGCAGGGGATAAGAGGGAGCCAGGGAGGACAAGAGGAACCGGGGACACAGGGAGCAGGGGAGATGAGATGCTGGGGAGAGGCAGAAGGCAGGGGGACTGGGAGGCAGAGGGAGCCGGGGGGACAGAGGAACCGGGGGACACAGGGAGCTGGGGGGACAGAGATGCTGGGGGGACAGAGGGAGCTGGGGGGACAGAGGAGCCGGGGGGATAGAGGGAGCCAGGGGGACAGAGGAACCGGGGGACACAGGGAGCCGGGGAGACAGAGGAGCCAGGGGGACAGAGGAGCCAGGGGGGCAGAGGGAGCTGGGGGGACAGGGGGAGCTGGGGGGATAGAGGGAGCCAGGGGGATAGAGGAGCCGGGGGGATAGAGGAGCCGGGGGGACAGAGGGAGCTGGGGGGACAGAGGGAGCCGGGGGGACAGAGGAACCGGGGGGCAGAGGAGCTGGGGGACAGAGCCGGGCTCAGCAGGGGTCACGGTGTGGGCTCCTGCCCCCTGCCCATCCCACCTGCTTTGCTGGCCGCAGTCTCGCGGAATTGTTGCATGAGCGTGTTCTGACCCCTGCCTCACAGGAGGGGCAGCACAGCAAGGCGGCAGATGGGCCAGGCACTTGGTCAGCGAGGCTGAGCAGGTCACGCGCCACGTCCATCCTGCGTTCTGCTTTCCGTCACAAGCTATGGCAGAACCAAGGTGGCTGTGACCAAGAACCCCCTTGGAACCTCAGTTTCCTCCTCTGAGAGGAATATAACTGCGTCTCTCTCAGGATCAGGCAGCAGCAGAAGAGATAGTGGACGCACTCAAAACCATCCCATTCCTCGACTGGGGTGGGCTGTGTTGGCTGAGCCCGGCTCAGCCTCACACCCAGGTCCCAAGTGCCTGGGCCCCACTATCGGGGCACCCAGCTGGCATTTGGAGTGGAGGCCTCAGAGGGGGCTGTGCTGGGGCTGGGATCCTGGGGGACCAGCGAGAAGAGCCTGCATGGGGAGCAGCAGGGGCCGCCCAGAGAGGCTGTGGGGCTTGGATCTGGATCCAGATGGGAGAATCACTGGGGAGCACCCCCTCAATGGCAGCCAGGAAGGGCTGGAAGCAGATGGGAACGAAAGCAGGAGATGGAAGATAGGAGAAGAGAGGAGAAGAGAGCAGATGAGGCCGAGACCAAGGGGGAGAGGCTGAGGTGGGCAAGGGAGGTGCTGGGGATTAGGGAAGCCCAGACCGCCACCCCTCACCCCCTTTTCCTCAGCCTGGCCGAGGGGCTGGGGCCGCAGAAAGATGTAAGCTACCGACAGCCTTGCCTTGTTGCAAAGAAAATATTCCCTGAAAGACACATTAAAATGAAGTAAATAAAAGAGATAAAAATGGAAATATCAAGGCAGCAACTTCTCTTCTGATTACAAAGCAGGCAGCGGGAGGCAGCGGGAGCCCTTGAGGACGCAGCTGCACAGCCGGGCGGGCCTGATAAGGCTCCTCAGCCTGCGCGGGCGAGATAAAGCCAGCACGCGCCTGTCCTCAATCCCGGCCGCCATCAACATGCAGACAGCCTGAGCAACTGGCATTCCAGATAGAACAAGCACGCACGGCCGCGCTCTTACCCAGACCTTACTAATCCGCCTGCAGGCATTTAAATGCCGTGGGAAATACGGAGTTTACCAGCGCAGCTGACAGGGACTTGACACTTCATCACATTCTTCCCTCTCAGCCTCTCTCCTTGGCCATCATCTCCAGGCCCCAAGTTTCAGTTGGAAGGGAAGTTTCTGGGTGCAGGTGGAGGGGTCAGGAGGCGGGGCCTCCAAGCACCTGGTGGGCAGGGAAACCCATGGGGTCACACCCGCCCCGGGGAGCAGTCCTGGAGGTCCGGGCAGGCAGGCCGAGCAGTGGCAGAGTCTACCACGTGTGCGCAGCCTGGCGAGATCTCACCCTTTTTAAGTCCTGGATGCGCTGGGTTTCCAGTTTTAGTTTGATTTTTTTTTCTTTTGGCCTCCTGCGCTTTTGCCATGAGGGGGTCTCCGAGTCCTGAGCATAGAGACAGGCAGAGCAGAGGAGGGTCAGACCCTGGGGAGATCCCGCCTCATCACAGCACAGGTAGGACTAGAGCCCACTGGTCTCCACCTTCAGGCAACTGACCCCACCTCAGACCCCAGCTGGGAGCAGACAGAGTTTATTGATTTGTTTATTTTTATTTTTATTTATTTATTTTTTTGAGACGGAGTCTCGCTCTGTTGCCCAGGCTGGAGTGCAGTGGCATGATCTGGGCTCACTGCAAGCTCCGCCTCCCAGGTTCACACCGTTCTCCTACCCCAGCCTCTCGAGTAGCTGGGACTACAGGCGCCACCACCACGCCCGGCTAATTTTTTGTATTTTTAGTAGAGACAGGGTTTCACTGTGTTAGCCAGGATGGTCTTGATCTCCTGACCTCGTGATCCACCCGCCTCGGCCTCCCAAAGTGCTGGGATTACAGGCATGAGCCACTGTGCCCGGCCTATTTTTATTTTTATTGAGACAGAGTTTTGCTCTGTCACCCAGGCTGGAGTGCAGTGTTGCAATCTCGGCTCACTGCAACCTCCACCTCCCGGGTTCAAGCTGGGATTGCAGGTGCACACCACCACACCCAGCTAATTTTTGTATTTTAGTAGAGATGGGGTTTTGTCATTGTTGGTCAGGCTACTTTTGAACTCCTGACTTCAAGTGATCCTCCTGCCTCGGCCGAGTTCCATCTTTTCTCTCATTGAGGTGTCGGCCCAGCTGGCAGAGACAAGTGCTGAACACACAACCACATAAACAACCTTGTTCCTGTGGGGAAGGAGGTGAGATGGTACCGGAGTCACCTCAGGGCCCTGTGAGGAGAAGGCCGTTCCTGCTGAGGCTGGTTCAGCCAGGCCACCGCTCTGCTTGCATCCTCCACGGCTGCAATGCCCTCCGTGAGAAGCCCAGGCCGCCGGGTCTGGCCTCCTTTCTGGTCTGGGCTTGCTCTGTGCAGAGGCTCACATGAGCTGTAGGCCCCCAGGAGCCTGTGTCCTCCAGATGTCCTTGCAGCCTGCCCACCTCCTTCAAGGCCTTGCTCAACTACCACCTCCCCAGAGAGGCCTCTGTGACCAGCCCCTCCCTTTACTGCATGCCTCCTTGCCCACACATGGGAGCAGGTGCCATAGGAGCAGGTGCCAGGAGAGTGAATGCCTTGGGAGCGGGTGCCATGAAAGCAGGTGCCACAGGAGCCACGAGTGCCACGGGAGCCACAGACACAGGCATTTGTGTCCACTTCCTCCCCCACTTCTTCCTCAGGCTGAGAACAGCAAGTGGAACGTGGCAGGCATCCCTCCAGAGCTGTCAGGAGGAGTGGGATTAGACACCGGGATGGGCTGGGAGGTGGGATGCTGAGGCAATGGGGGGCTGGGCCAGTCAGAGGTGAGTGCAGGGGAGGGACCTCCAGGCAGAGAGACTGGCTTGAGCAAAGGCTCTGAGGTGGAGGTTTTAGATGGGTGAGGAGCAGAAGGCCAACGTGGGTAGCTGAGGAGAGGGCGAGGAAGAAGAGCAGGAGTGCAGCACCAGTGCCAACCAGGGGCCTCGAAGCTCCACTCCAGGAGCAACCCCAGAGTGTGTCCACCTCCTCCCGGATGGGCCACGCCTTGAGGTGCTGATGGCACCCCAAACTCCACTCCCCAGAATCAGCCCAGGCTCAGCCACATTGGCCCGGGCTCCTGCAGAAGCCGACCTGGAGACGAGGAACTGACTACAAGTGGACCATTTTGGGGGTAACCCCAGGAAGCCCCCCAGGGCAGGGGAGTGAGATGGGAGGGCAAGATTCCTGAGGAAGCAGGTGCCACCTGCCAGTCACTGCCGAGGGGAGTGGCACCTCCTCCAGGTAGGGGTCTCTGGGGAACCGTGGAGCACAGCTCAGAGCTGCCCCAGGGCTGGGAGTGAGCTATGTGCATGCTGGCTCCCTCCGGCCATCAGACAGATGCTCCCTGACTTGGGGCTGCAGCAGCCAAACAGAAGTGGGGCCTGGCCAGTGGACACCCCCTCCCCTCCCTCTCCTGCAATCTCCTCCCACTCTCCTCCCTCCCCTCCATCTCCTCACCCTCCCCTCCCAACCCCCTCCATCTCGTCCCCCTCCATCTCCTCCCCTGCCTCCATCTCCTCCCCCTCCCTTCCTTCCCCCTCCATCTCCTCCCTCTCCCCTCCCTCCCCTTCAATCTCCTCCCCCTCTCCTCCCTCTCCCTCCATCTCCTCCCCCTCCCCTCACTCCCCCTCCATCTCCTCATTCCCCTCCCTCCCCCTCCATATCCTCATTCTCCTCTTTCCCCGTCATTCTGAGGAAGCAGGTGCCACCTGCCAGTCACTGCCGAGGGAGTGGCACTCTCCTCCAGGTAGGGTCTCTGGGGGAACTGGAGCACAGCTCAGAGCTGTTCCCAGGGGCTGGGAGTGAGCCAGGCATGCTGGCTCCTCCGGCCATCAGACAGATGCTCCCTGACTGGGGCTGCAGCAGCCAAAACAGAAGGGGGCCTGGCCATGGACACCTCTCCCCTTCCTGTAAATCTCCTCCACTCTCCTCCCTCCCTCCATCTCCTCACCCTCCTCCTAACTCCTCCATCTCGTCCTCCCTCTATCTCCCTCCCTGCCTCCATCTCTCCCTCCCCTTCCTTCCTCCATCTCCTCCTTTCTCTCCTCCTTCAATCTCCTCCTCTCCTCCTCTCTCCATTCTCCTCTCTACTCCTCTCCATCTCTCATTCTCCTCCTCTATCTCTTTATTCTCTCTTCTTTTTTCTGTCTCGTTTCTCTTTATTCTCTCTTCCTTTCCATTCTATTCTCCCTCTCTCTCTAGCATTCTTATTTTTTTTCTGTCTATCTCCTTTTATTCTCTCTTCCTTTCATTCTCTTGTTTCTCCTTCTCCCACTTCCACTTTCCTTCTGCCGAGAACGCCTCTACTTCCTCTAATTTTCCATCTCTCCTGTTTCCTCCCTTCCCTTTCTGTTCTCCTCTCCCTTTCCTTCCTGGTTCTACTCTTCTATTCTTCTTCTTTCTATTTTTCTCTTTTTTCCTCTCTATCCTCATTCTCCTCTTTCCCCGTCCATCTCCTCATTCCCCTCCCTCTCCCTCCATCTCCTCATTCCCCTCCCTCCCCCTCCACCTCTTCCCCACTCCCCTCCCTCTGCCTCCATGTCCTCCCCACTTCCCCTCTCCACCCTCCATCTCCTCCTGCTTCCCCTCCCTCCCCTCTGTCTCCTCCCCCTCCCCTCCCTCCCTCTCCCGGCCCTACCCCTCCATTTCCTCCCCCTCTCCTCCCTTCCCCTCCATCTCTTCCCCTCTCCTCCCTCCCCATCCATCTCCTCCCTCACTCCCCTCCCTACTCCTCCATCTCTTTCCCACTCCCCTCCCTCCCCTCCATCTCTTCTCCTCTCCCTTCCTTCCCCCTCCATCTCCTCCCCCTCCCCTCCCTCTCCCTCCATCTCCTCCCCACTTCCCCCTCCCCTTCCATCTCTTCCCTCGCCCCTCCCTTCCCCTCCATCCCCTCTTCCCTCCCCCTCTATCTCCTCCCCACTCCCTTCCATCTCCTCCTCACTCCCCTCCCTCCTTCGCCCTCTCCTCCCCATTCCCCTCTTCTCCCTCCATCTCCTTCCCACTCCCCTCCCCCTTCTCCCCACTCCCCTCCCTTCCCCTCCATTCCCTCCATCCCCTCCCTGCTTCCCCTCCATCTCCTCCCTACTCCCCTCCCTCCATTCCCTCCCTCCCCTCCCCCCTCCCCCTCCATCTCCTTCCCACTCCCCCTTCCCTTCCATCACTTTCCTATTCCTTCACCTCCTCCTGGTCCCAGAAGGCCGGCAGGAGAAGCCTCACTTCCTCCTACCTGGGTAGACACAAGCAGGTTTAAAAGAAAACAGGCGCTAATGGGAAAAACTTCAGAAAACCCGTGGGATAGAAGAAAACCCGACTTCCTTCTCCCGTGGCTGAGGAGCCTCTCCGGACAGCCCGCTGCTGTCGGGGGACAGTGGGCAACCCCTCCCTGCGGGCCGTCTCTGGCTGCCCCGGTCCACGTCACCCCCAGTGCTGTACTTTCTCTCCCCAGAGGCGGGTCTATGTGGGCACCTGGCCCTACTCATGAGCAAATGCCACAGCCCCCAGGGGGCAAGAGCTTGTGGTGAGCAGGATTGTTCCCTGTAAATATTAGTGATCATTAACAATCATTAATTAGAATGATAAATGATTGAGGGTGACAGTAGGAAGATCTCTCTTGGGAGTGGGTTCCCAGTGGGACATAGGGGACTTGGCTGAGCCGTCTACCTCACCCTCA